GGGCCTGATAGTGTTATCTTTTTTGTCATGGTTTTTAAGCAGATCACTGCAGCTGTTAAATAAATCACCTAAATGTTAGTTCCAGTTCCCATTTTTTGCTTTGCTTGTTGGAAGGTTGCAAATGGTGATCACATGATCTCAGTAAACTGTGACTGTCGTAAATAAAAGTTGGTTGCCAAGTGCCTGAATTTTTATCATGGGGATGTTGCAACAGTCACAAGTGTGAGCACTGTTGTAACTCATTTTTTTTCCATTGCTGTTATAACTTCGAACGGTCACCAAACAAATGACTCTAAGTCGAGGTCTACCTGTACTGAATATATAGATTTTATGATGTACTAGCCCCAGTATACAACAGTATTTCACATACAGATCAAGGAATCGTCCCTTTCTATGCAAAGCACATTATACCTAAACCAGTCAGATACTGTGTGGTAGAAACTGGTGGTAGAAACATTGTAATGCTATTTGTCATCAAAATACCTTTTGAAACACAGTATTTATGATAAAGAATACTATATAGTCCAAATCGGTGGTGGGTTGCTCCCGGTTCAGTCCGGTTCTGTAGAACCAGTAGTAAAACCGGCGGGAGGCTCTGCCCACCTGCCACGATGTCATCATGGGTGAGCTGCGCATGCGCAGAAGCACGCATGGGCTCCCACTGCGAACCAGTAGTAAAGGTAAGTAGAACCCACCCCTTGTCCAAACTATTCTTATCATAGTTAACACACATAAACAAGCACAAATAAACTTAGCCTAAGTAATTTCAACCATGATTCTAAGCATTTCTATATCCTGAGAACAATAACAGCAGAAGCACCACCCTGGTTGCAAGAATATCCCCCAGAACATTCAGAGACCCATTGGCTTCCGAAGTGTGACTGATTATTCTAACAAATCTGCTAGCCTTGTTAATAAAGGAAGATAAAACAACTGTAAATCTCAAGAAGAAATAAAATCATGATGTGGGAATCAAACAAATGTAACTCTCCATTCCTCTTTCTCTGATGTTGTTATTACATCTCAATAAAAATATTAAGTACCAAGTATGAGTCAATCACAACTGAAAGACTGAAAATCATACCACAGAAATTCAGGAAGAGGAAAGAAATGAACACAACTTTCCTCTTTTAGTAAAGGCTTATTAACAAAACAATTTGTTTGCTTTAAAAAAAAATTATAATACATGTACTTATATATTTGACAAATTTCTGGACTACCCAACACTAATAAAACTGTTTTTTTTTTTTTTTACATTTAAAAGCATTTTTTCTACAACCTCTTCGGCCGAAAAAATGCTTTTAAAAGTAAAAAAAAAAAAAAAAAAGCCTCTGATGATCACGCGGCTCAGCTGGGATCATTAAAGGCTTTTAAAAGCATTTTTTCTACAATCTCTTTGACCGAAAAGGTTGTAGAGAAAAAAAAATGCCTTTAAAAGCCTCTGGCGATCCCAGCTGAGTTGTTGATTGTCAGAGGCTTTTAAAAGCATTTTTTTCTGCAACCTCTTAAGGTTGTAGAACAAATGCTTTTAAAAGTAAAAAAAAAAAAGTTGACCATGCCCACCCAGTCACATTACCCCCCCCGCAAGCCATGCCCACAAAACCGGTAGTAACAAATTTTACGTTTCACCCCTGAACTATTGGTTATGTTTTAAAAAGTAGAAGGGATACAGAACATTATTTCCCAAAAGAAACATTTTGGAAACATTTCAATTCTGATGGTCGTAATGTTCAAAATATAGTGAAAATGTTCATACAGTGCACTTAATACACTCAAATTAAGGAAAGTTGGATCAGCAAGATATATAAAAACAGGCTGCACGAGATACAATTATGCTTAGAATATTTGCATTGAAAATTAATAGATCTTAATTTACACATAATTCAATACAATGAACCACATTTTAGTAAACTCTGTATTCACTACTGTAAATTTTTCAATATTTACAGAATATACTAAAACAGATTGTTATGATAAATGGTGAATAGCTTATGTGTGTGTTTGGAAGACTCTGCATCTAAAAACAGATTCTATGATAATACTAGAAAGCCAAATAAATAAATGTTGAATTCCAAGGGGATACTGGCCTTAAAAAGTAAATTAAAGAAACTGCAGACTTTAATGGAAAAATACTAGTTCCATTAGTGCTGAAGTAAAAGGAGAATATATAGAAGTATAATATAAAAGATCGTGCTAATAAATGATTTAGATAAAAATAATACATGACAGAAAGCAGCAGGTAAGGATAATTTAAATCAATCTTCTTTTAAATCCGTCTTTTAAGAAATAGAAGAAAAATACCATTAGTAAGTTTTTAATGTTACTTCTATTCAATTTTTACATAGACCATTCTAAAAAATAATATGTATATTGTTTAATTATGTGCTTCAAATCCACCTTTCCCAGGACTTCTCAAGAGAGCAGGGATTTTTTGCATAATACATTCCAAATATGTTATTTTCAGCTTGGATAATTGTGCCTCAGCTAAAAACTTTGTATTGATTTGTTGAATGATTCATTTGTTTATTTCCTTGATTAGTCAAGGTATCCTCAGGAGTCTTGTCCAGCATCAAAGTTCAAAAGCATCATTACTCTTTCTGTCTTGCTATTTCAAAGTTCCTTTTTTGCTTTCATAAACTGTCACAAGGAAAACCATTGCCCACCCAGTTTTGATCTTTGTAGATACAGAGATAGCACAATATTTAAAAATTGTCATCTACAAATTGCTAGTTTGCAACATATTACAACACCGAAATTTATTTTCGTTCTTGATATATGAGCACTACTTCCTTTAGAAGCATTTGGATGCAACACCATGAAGAGTAGCAAAGCATATAAGAACAGAAGAACAGAACAGAAAAGAACACAGTCCACAGTAATTATATACAAAGGTTATATATTCATTCATCCCATCTCAATTAACAATCTACTTCAAAACATTAGCATAGTTTATTTCTCTCATGAGTAGCTAAATATTCATAGATCCCAATATATATTTTTTTTAATTTGATTTATATGCCGCCCTTCTCCGGAGACTCAGGGCGGCTTACAATGCGTTAAGCAATAGCCTTCATTCTTTTGTATATTTTATACAACGTCAGCTTACTGCCCCCACAAACTGGGTCCTCATTTTACCTACCTTAGAAAGGATGGAAGGCTGAGTCAACCTTGAGCCTTGGAGAGATTCGAACCAGCAGAAATTGCAGGCAGCTGTGTTAATAACAGGGTGCACTAAACCACTGTACTATCAAGGCTCTTTTTTGATCTTTTGATATTGATCTTTTACATAACATGAAATAGATGATTTGCGCTGCATAATCTTAAGAGAAACTTCTCAACACTTTTACAGATAAGCTGGCCCCTTAATTATATTTTTGAATATAGCTATATCGTCTCAAATCTTTTAGTTGCTTCAAAATGTAGAAGAAGCTAAAGCAGACGAGAAAGAAGCCCAGTCAAAAGTGACCTGGTACAATACCTTGCCATTACACTGCAGGAGCAATATGATTGCCAAATTAACAAATTTGGGTCAACATACATGGAAGCATTCTGTAGCTTACATCTGAAAGTATCTCCAGATGTAAAAAAAAAAAACATTATCAAGTTGCAAAAATGCTGGGTGTCTATACAAACACAGCAATCACCTTAATTATACCTTAAATATTAGCAACAGACAAATATATGTTTCCACAGGCTTTGATGCAGATGTTTTTCCAGTCCCATTGACACATTATCAATTAAACCTCTATATACAAGTCAGGTAGTCCAATATTAATCACAGCTTTTCTTATTAGTACTAAAACATCAGTAGCCATATGAAGTTGTCATAATTTTATATTAAACTTTGAGTTTGTAATTCATTTATAATTTTGATTAAAATGTTCGATCAGAGATCTTCATTAATCTCTGAGGATTGCAGTCCATCTACCTAGATGAAGCTCTTTGCTTTATGGAGACATGTTGCTTTGTCTCCATGCAGGGAAGTATTGACATGGAGGGGAATTATTCCACTTTTATAAACATTAAAGGAAGGTCAATTTGCATGAATCCATTACTTTGTTTTGACAGAACTGGCTTCTGCACTAAACACCACTTTACTCAAGCTTATGTTTTATCATTTTATCTCCGCTTCCCATGCAATCCCAATTAGAAAAACAAGAAACAGAGTTTTTTTAAACCAAATATATATATATATATATATATATCCATGAATATCTGGATTTCCATAGGTAAGTACAGTTAAATAACATAACCAACTATAATCTGAAGTCTAGATAACTTTAGAAAAAGGAAATCTCGTTACGCTGATAAAAAACAGGAACACAACTGGGAATGACAGGAAAATTGTTAAGGTAAAAAGACTGTCAAGTGAAGAAAGGGCAACTGAAGTGAAAAGGCAAATGTAATACAGAATTCAACAAATCATTTTCTGACAGAAATATATAGATGTTGTTTACTTGAATGCTTTGCTTCAGATACTGCATGCAGCCTATTTCAGTCACCTGAATTCCAGATTGGCTTTATGGAAACTTCAACTCCTTTCCAAACTAATCAATTTCTTTTTAAACAAGAATGTAAATGCTTAAAAACAGTGGCTCATAACTGTGTAACTGTCATGCCAAAATTAGCTTTCAACTATATTTGTTATTATTTATGTATTTCAGAAGAACAGTTGGATGCATCATCTGCTTGTCTCTATACAGAATTTCATAAACTACATAGTTTATGAAAGGTTTGGACATGTTTATTTGTAGCTGTAAAGAATTTTTGCTTTAGATCTGGCAGAAGACATAAACCAGATTTCAAATAATTAGAATTGTGAAGGCAAATTAAAATGATTAGCTTAACAACATCAGTAGACTATAACCAGGTGTTCTCCGGATAAAGATGCATGCATTACTTGAGTAATTTTTGAACAATAAATTTAACATATTTTTTAAGTTAAAGGCAATGCAATTCTATATAATTATATCAGAAAAAAATATAAAATTGGGACCCACATGAGGATTTACCTTCCACTGCTCTCTTAAAGAAGACTTTGCAACTGCCACATGTCACTACTCCATAATGGCATCCGGATGCTTCATCTCCACACACCAAACACACTTTAGAAGGTCTTGAAGATCCAGTTGAAACATTTCTCAATGATGAACTAGGGAGAAATATAATAGGACTCATGAATATAAAATTCACTTGATACAAATTCCATTTTGTTATTCAATTTCTAATTCCATAATTTTGAGGCTTTACCTCAACATTTTTTTAAAAAATTAAAAATTCATTTCTTTTAGCAATATGTGTGTAACTGGGCTGTTCTTTATATATTTAATTTTGTGCTTTAAAATACCCACTGACACAATGTGAAAATTTTTTATCTACCAACCCTCCCTTAGAATCTAGGTTTATTTGATCATATCCCCCAAAATAAGACATCCTCTGATAATAAGCCGAATTGGGCTTTTGAGCGCATGGCAATAAGGCCAAGCATTTATTTCAAGGTTCAAAAAAATATAAGACAGGGTCTTATTTTCAGGGAAATATGGTAGTAATCTATCAAAAATGCAGTTACTCTTTTATAGTAGGCTATTCATTAAGAAAAAGATAACACAAAAAACAGGGAAATATTTTTATAAGGATCCAATATATTTAAATATCCAATAGATGCCAAGATTTTGGGAGGTTGGTTTTGGCAATTATCAGAATAGATTGAATGGATATTATTTCAGAGTAGAACATTTTAAGGATTGCTGAACAAAGGCATTTTTTTTAAAGATTATCCATTACTCTTAGGCCCAATTAAAAATCTATAAGTAGACCCATAACATTTTATCTTCATATATTCTCCAGATATATTCTTATTTTTTCAGTTTTTCTCACAAGGAATTGAATTGTTGCAATTTCTGTTAACAAAAATCTTTGTCCTAAGGGCAAAATGAGAATTTATTTAAGGAGGCATGGATCATTAAAAGTGTCATGTTTATTTTTTTATTTTCTGAGAGCTTAAAAGTTGCACAAATAAAAATTTATTTACTTTATGAACTATTTTGAAAGAAAGATAAATGACATGCTAAACCACTATTGGTTGGGTTCACACATAGTAAGACATAGATATGAATATGATTCATATATCACAATACCTAAGTTCAAACAACATGTATATTCCAACTCTATTCTGGCCTATCAGGAGGCTGAAGTCTGCTGCCAGCTGAAGTCACAGTGAGAGCCTCTTAATGCTCTCAATCCTAATTCCAGGGCAGCAGTTTTACCCTATACTGCCTATTTTAGAATACAAGAGAAAAAGTCAAAGTATATTAAGAAAGACCTTGGACAGTTAGTAAATAGATCTTTCTTTCATTCTTTTTGTTTATTTATTATTAAAAATGTTAAATACAATAGTAAAAAGGAATGCAAATTAAACTCAGAAAAAGAAAAGAGATAGAATAAAAAGTGTAAAGAAAAAATAAAAATAAAAAGTCTTTATTACATAAAAAAATAAAAATAAATCTTTATCCCTTATAAAGTTACAACAAATATCTCTTCTTCCCACAGGCAAAAACATGCATCATCAACTTTTTAGTCCTGGTGTGCAAAAAAATCTATAAAGGGTTACCAGAGCTTTATTTTAACCTTGATCAAACAAGCCAACTTCATATTCTTCTTTTACTTCTAACTAATCTTTAATTCATGTTGACATTGTCTTTCTTTTTCCAACTTCAAAAACTTCTTCAAGGCTTTAGGAGACCTTTTTTATAAGTGGAAAGTCATTGCCTAGGAGAGGGATGTCAAACTCATGGCGTCACGTTGTCATCACATAATGTATCACAACTTTCCCTTCACTAAAATGGGGTGGGTGTGGCCAGCATGTGATGCATCAGAGCCGCAGGCCGCAAATTTGACACCTGTGGTCTAGGATATTGTCCATGCCTTTAACTTCCAAGCCTTAGCCATGTTTTTTTTGTGTGTGTGTAATCCAAAAGAAAGCCCTTAAAGGGTGGTTCTCTTGGCTCTTCTTTATTTTTGAAATGTACTTCTTTAAAAATTATTTTTATTTCCAGTTTTAATAGCATGTGTGTTTTGTAATCCAGATTTTTTAAAAAATCCAATATTTCTGATTATTTTTATAACAAGTAAAATTTGTTTCACATCTGTCACTCCTTTATTAACATCTTTTAAACACAGACTATCTATAGAATCAGATATCATTATTGCTTTTGCTGCTAATAATTTATCTGAAGATTTCCTTTAATATTTCAAAATGTTATAATATTTTGTGTCATTTTGTAAATACTAATCACAAAGGCAAGCAGTTTTTTTTACTTTTTTGCTTGGACTTTATTTCCCTCAAAGTCTATATCCAATTTAAATCATAAGGTCTCTTATCTCTGCTATGACTTGCAATAGTCAAAAATAATTCTGGTTCTTATAAAAGGCTGCTTATTTTATATAACTAATTCCAAAATCTTATTGTAAAAGTTTCAACATTTATGCCTAAGCTCTTAATTAATTAACTTTCTTAATTCAAAACTTTATTTAGCTTTTTGCTGTTTATTTCAAATTCTTTAACTTCTTACAAATATACTTCATTTTTCTTTTGTTTATGAATAAAATCATAGACTCCAATATTTTTTTTTAGTAAATTGTAATTTTGTAGTAATTTAGTAATCTCCAGTAATTTTGTAGTAAATAGTCTCCAGTAATTGTCATTTAAAAGACTTTTAATAGCCTTAAGATATTTAAATAAGCAATTTTCCAATATTAGAAGCAAAGTTAGCAAATTTAGTGTCCCTTAATGTCCCAGAAGTAGTTATGAACTTGATGATTAATACTTTTGTTCCCTGCTGTTAACTGTTATCCTGCAGTATCCTCAAGAGAAGCCACCATCTGAGACACATGTTGGCAATCTCCTGTTCTGCCCTTATCCTAATAAATAACAAAGAACTGGTCCAGTCATCAGTTCTTTGGTCTTTATTGTGGTTATTACCCACAAAGATTTGTTTAGCTCACCATGCTTCCATTGGACGTTTTCTTTCTTTCTTTCTTTCTTTCTTTCTTTCTTTCTTTCTTTCTTTCTTTCTTTCTTTCTTTCTTTCTTTCCTTCCTTCCTTCCTTCCTTCCTTCCTTCCTTCCTTCCTTCCATTCATTCTTAGAGAATATGCTTTTACCCTCATGTCTAAGACTCAACCTTTCCAGTAATACTTAAAGCTACAGCTTTAACAAAAAGAAAAGTGTCCAAGCACATTTGGATCAGGCTGGTTAATTTGTTTTCCTTAATCGGGCATTTCAAAAGCTCAATAGGTATCTTTCTCTGATTTGAATCCTGCTCCTAATAACATTTTTCCTCTTTCCACAAAAAGCAATCCTAGGATTCAATTATGTTGGAGTAAAAAACAAAACAAAACCAGCTAATAGCATAAATAATTGGAGGGCAGAGAAAGAACTGAAATGTTTCAAGCATAGCTTTTGAAAGTGACTATAATCTGGGAGTCTTTAAATGCATTTCTGTTTTCCAAAAACTACAGAACTTTTATTTCACAGACATGAATCACTTACATAAGAAAGGGGAAATACATATTCCCCTTTCTCCACTGAGCAGAAGTAGAAAACAGAAGAGCATGATTGGAGGTAGGGAAAAGCCAAACTGGGTAAAGATGAAGAGATGAAAAGAAATAGACAGATGCAGGAAAAGGGGGGGAAATTAGTCCTTATAAAATAGGTTTAAATTCAACTAGTCATTTCAACAGCTATCTGTTCCCATTTCTTTTTCTTTTTAAGAATATTCTATTCTTGTATGCCAAGATTAGAAGTATTCCAATTAATAGGTGTTACTGAAAGAAAATTCTAAATTTTCTTTGGGAAAGAATAAGGCTATCTTTAACCTGTCACTGATGTGTTCAAAACAGAACACTAAAACATAAGCAAGAGTTTAGAAATCACAAGTGATGGGCTCAGACAATAAATTACAATTAAACTAAACAGAAACCTTTTGTGGCTTACTGTGGTCTATTAAGGTTATATCACTGAAAGAATTAACATATTGTATTAAACTATGAGATAGGCTGCTTGGTTTTGGCACAGTGTAGTTTGCTGAGTCTGTTATTATAATTTGCAAATCACTGTATAATTTGAAAATCGTTAGTATAATTATGTATTTGTTCAACTGTGTCTTATCTATCAAACCATAATAAACCAAACCAGGACTATTCTATGAGATATAGATAATATCATTCCTGTTCCATTTTTCTTCCTATCTACTTGTTGTCTTTACTTTCCTGGTGTTTCTTGTTATTCTTTGTGTTTTACCCCTTGCTCCTTCCCTCTCTTCTCTTTCTCTTTCCAATCTTTGCTTCTCTTTTTAAAAAACAAATCATATTATTCAACACAGAAATTATTTGATATATGACTGCTGTTCAAAAAATATTAGCCCAAAGCTCCATTTTTCTTAGTTCTTTGACTCCAGTTATAGATTCTTTATTATAGACTAATCATAAGCAGCTTACTGTCAAATAATTTATAGTTACACTGAATGAGGCCAGCCAACAATTGATCAGGTATTTTATCCTAGATCACGTCACAAATATCAATGTCTTTGGGTTTTAACATGCATGTCGTTTCTCTGGCATTTTGAATAAAACTGCATTTGATGCATTAATCTGCCACTAGTAATAATGCCACTCACCCTGTCTTGCTGTCTTAATCTGTGGCACTCAGTCTAATATATTTGTACATTTATTATGGATTGCCATAACATGCATGCTGATGTATGCTAACAAGCCAAAATCACATTAAATGCTTCATGTGGATATCATGACATCATCACTCAAAGGACACAAGTTAGTAGTTCCATTGTATAAGTAAATTATGTCATTTGCATCATAAAACCGTAATAATTTTAATGTTGGAAGCCACCTAGAGCTGTTTCATTAGAGGAAGGGAGGCAAATTAATTCAATAAAGAAATACATTGTAGAAGTAAGCAAATGTTTTATTTAATAGGACGGACTCAATTCAAGTAATCTAACTGACTGTCATTAAATATGCTCTCATACTTGTTTCAAGCAACAAATTTGCAATTCTACTTTCTCTAATTTTACTAGGTCAAATAACATTTCAGACAAAAGCCACTGGAACAGAATATCAAAGGGCACCCTTATAC